AACACTGAAGTTCCATTAGCCGTTAAAGGAAGTATTCAGTAATAATGAAATTTTAGATTAAAAAGGGGTTGAGGGCACTAGTATTCAGAGATAACTTTTGTTCTTTCGTTATTTGACAGGCAGAGAGACAGAGATGTCCCATCTACTGAGTCACCTTGGAAATGGTAGTCCCTGCCGTGCTGGGCCAGGTCTGCGCTAGAAGCTGCGCCTTCAATCCAGGTATTCCATGTGGGTGGGAGGGATCCAACTACTAGAACCAACACCTGCTGCCTCCTACTGTGTGCATCAGCAGGAAACTGGGATTGGGGATGGGGATGGGGCTGGCTGGGACTAAAACCCAATGTAGCATGCAAATGACATGGTGTCAGATGCCCACCCCCAACTCTCGGTATCTTGATGCATATATCTATCTTATAAATAATACACATACTCTTCTCTTTGCGCACATAATCATAGTTGTTTAACAACAAAAAAATTAACAGAGGGAAATCTATGTGTAACTAGTGCCTTTTTAAAAAAATTATTTATTTTTATTGGAAGGGCAGATATACAGAGAGGAGAGAAACAGAGAGGAAGATCCTCCATCTGATGATTCACTCCCCCAGCAGCCGCAATGGCTGGAACTGAGCCAAACCTAAGCCAGGAGCTTCTTCTGGGCCTCCCATTGTGGGTGCAGGGTCCCAAGGCTTTGGGCTGTTCTCAACTGCTTTCCCAGCCCACAAGCAGGGAGCTGGATGAGAGGTGGGGCTGTCAAGATTAGAATTGGCACCCATATGGGATCCTGGCACGTCCAATGCAAGGACTACAGCTGCTACGCTATTGTGCCAGGCTCAACTCAGTAGTGTCTTTATGAGAAAAAGCTCTTCAGCGCATATTGAACTATTACAACAATAACAAATAACTGCTAGGATATTCATTGCAAAGGCAATGGATCCACACCAAATTATACTGGGAAAGTAAAACCACATAGCAAACGCAAATTGCTGCTGAAATCCTGAATTGTCATAAAGCACATCAGTTTGGGGTTCCTACTCATAATCATTCTTGAATCTGGTCTTTAGACTCCTCCATGATAAAAACTAATTTGGATGGATTTAAGATCCAATGTCCATTAGAACTAATGAAGATGGATTTGGCTTTGTTCTTCAACTTCCTGTAAAAATGCTCAACAGGAAAACTGATGCTTGCAACAAACCACAGTCATCCTGTTTCTTTAACATGAGCGCTTCACAGCTGCAGTTGCCTGAAGTTTCTACTTTATTATAGGGGTCATCAGGCCACATCTCAACTCCACCCTACCCCAACCCACCCTCACTAGCACACTGTTTTAATATCTTTGCTGAAAGCTCTGTGTCTCTCATTGGTAACTCTGCTCACAGCAATGAGACAACAAGAGGGAGATAGTTGCGGCTGCTGAACCCGAGAGTGCATCCAGACAGAGAGGAGCGCAAGCACTTCTTACCCGCAAATCTCCCATATGCTCTGTTCTTGCTGCCCCCTGTGCTGCTCCACTGGAGCTGCCTGTAGAGCAAACACTTGTTGTGCAAGGAATCCTCGTTTTTCAAAACTGCATGAACGTGACTGACTACTAAGAGCTGAAGTGACTTCAGCTTGGGGAGTCTCTCAATAATAAGGGGTTATATTTCACCTGTGTTTTGAGGGGTCCATGGCTCTCTTAGCAAGGCTTCTTGGAGAGTTCTTTTAGAGAGCTGATTTGGGGGAGAACAAGAGGCATTTTCCAAACATGGAAGTTTGAAGCATCTATATATAATGTCATTAAATTTGACTGGAAGAGAAACTGCTGGGGAAGTGGAGGCTGTTAGGCAGCAGCATCATAAGATTACACTAACATTCAAAAACTAACCCAAATCCACAGACATGTAAGACCCTTCAGATAGTGAGAAAATGCTGACTGACCCATCTGTCTGCCATCACCTGACAGAATGAAGGGAGCCCCTTTACACAAAACACTGACATTCCCCTCTCCATCTCTCCAGTCTCCCCCAAATCTCAAAATGAAAATTCTCTCCCAAATTGTCAGAAGCTACTAAGGTTTTTAAAATAAGTGTATTTATTTGTTTTTATTTATTTGAACAGGAAGAGAGGGGGTAGTGGACAGAGAGGAAGAGAGAGAAACAAAAGCATCATTCACTGGTTTATTTCTTCAAATGTCTACAACAGACAAGGTGGGGCCAAGGCAAAGTCAGGAACCCCAGACTCCTTCCAGATCTCCCATGTGAGTGGCATGGACTCAAGCACTAGAACTATTCTCTGCTGCTTCCCAGGGTGCGCATTAGCAGGACACTGGATCCAAAGCAGAGACAGGACTCAATCCCAGACATTGTAATATAGGATGCAGCAGCTCAATTTACTGCTTACCCAAACCCATTGAGTTTACTAGGAATTAAGATTTGCCTGTTCTGTACTACACACACAGACACACAGAGACACACAACATGTATGTTGACACTTAATACCTGTGTTCGTTTTAACATTGGAAATACAACTTGTAACATAAGCCAAAGTGTCACCAAATTTACCTCTGAAAAGGTCAAAAGACTTAGAAAGGAAATGTCTTGAGATTGTTCATTTTAGAAATATTTACCACTGCTGTGATATTTACATAAAAACATTTGTAAACCCATATTCCCAGAACTGGAAAAAGACCTAAAATATACACACATGCGTGTGTATACACACACACACACCACCACCACCACCACCACAACCCCCTTAACAAGATTATCTACTGGCTTTAGGCTGCACCTGTGGACAAGGCTCTTGAGATCTGGCAAACTTCCACCAAGTTTAGTTACTAGGCCATGGGCAAATGACTTGGCCTCTCTATATCTGTGATAAGATGGTGATCACAGTGCCTACTTATTGCAAAATTCAGTGAGGCAGTACTTAGCATGTAGTAGCCACTTGCTAAACACAGAATAGGCAAAAGAGGCTGACACATGGACTTGCCATGTAAATATGACCACCTTTCCAGTTTACTTCCGAAAAAGCGAAAGCAGTGGCTGAGAGAAACTTCAGCCCACATATGTAGACCTCAAAATCATCTGTCTGACAAAAGAATGGTGATAGATGTGGGTAAAATACATCTGAAATTTCTAGGAGTGGCATCCTGGCAGACGTTTTCCTTTCCTTATATTTGGCAGATTTAATCCTCAGGGCTGAAGGTTGCGAGGTAAGACAGATTTATGGCATTCCAGGTGAAATGCTCTTTCCATCAAGAAGCACAAAACAGGAGTATTAGTCCTACCTCAAAGCACAATTGTATCACAATTTAAAGACCCAGTGAAATCTACTAAACAGACTTCAAAAGAACATTGAACTTGAAGGGTCCAGGAAGTGGGTAGCTCACTTCCGGATACATTTTAGCAAAGTCTGAGGAACTTCAGGCCTGTGGGCCAGATCTAGAATTTAATTCCATTAATTCTCAGACTGAAACAGTTTGCCAGACCCCAGGAAATCTTCCTCCTAAGTTGTTGCCTGAATACTGCAGTTCATCCAGAGGATGTGCAGTGACAACAGTAGCTACAGCTGTCAGCCAGCAGCAGGTGAATAAACCCTCCGAAGAGCCTTAGGAAACATGGCTATGATTTTAGGTAAATCACTTAACCTTTTTTTTTTTCTAATTCCTAAAGAGAATAATTTTAACTAGAGAATATTCCAGGTAAGAACAACAAAAGTTTATAAAGTTAGCAAATAATAAAGTAAGACTTATGATCCAAGTGAGTTTTCAGAGGCTAGCTTACATAAATGTGGGCCTCATAACCTACCCCACTTCTTTTTTCTCTCACTATTCTTTGCTTTGCCATGATCTTACTGAACGCTCTGTCTGCCATACTGACTTTTTTTTTTACACTGAACTCCTGCTGCAGCTTCTCTGTTCATCACTTCTCCCTGTTGCATGATATACTCTAGTGATGCCATTAATGATTAAAGTTGAATTACTCAGTTAATTTTTAAAGCTTTCTATTTCTCTAAGGGAGAAAGGATTATAAATCAAGCCACCTTTTTATACATATTCTAGAGAAAAAAAGGTACTAAAAGTTTCTTAATCTTGCTCTGCAAGTCTCTGAGTACACAGCTTTGTAATTTAAAAATCATAACTTTATGCCAAAATGGTAATTACATTGAATATAAACATAACAAGTGCCATAGTATGTAATAGTAGCTTTCTGTTGTATTGTTATGATATTAACATAAGTCTTCTCAAAGACAAATTAGGGGCGGGCATTTGGCCTGGCAGTTAAGATGCCAATGAAAATATTCATTCACATGCCATAGTGCGTGCGTTCAATTCCTACCCCTGGCTCCTGACTCCAGCTTCCTGTGCCAGTATGCATCCTGGGAGGCAGTGGTACCGGCTCAAGTAACCGTATGGGAGACCTGGATTGAGCTCTTAGCTCGGGGCTTCTGCCTCATCTGTTCCCAGCCACTGGGGACATTTGGGGAGTAAACTAGCAGCTAGAAGTGTTTTTTCTCTCTCTCAAATTGAAACAAACAAAATCCCAGAATGACCCGTTTTAAAAGACTGCCTAGAAATGCTATAGTGTGAAATCTGAACTTTAGTAAAATGGGAAATGGCCGAGCCACATGGCACCCATATTTAAGTCTAAAGCTTCCAATGACTGCTTGTACTTTAAAAGCACTCACTGTTGCTGCTCAAACTGAGGACTCAACATAGTTGTACGGACAACATTCTAAAAAGGAAAACAGGAAAGAAATTCCTGTGGACTCAAACAGGTTCATGGGTCAGGGACAATTCCACTAAAAATCCTGCTCACATTCAGACTCCAAACAAATTATGAATCATGCAGTCACCATGGTGGTGAGACCAGTTCTCTGGACCACACAAATAGATCACAAGGTCTTATACTAAAAAATTACACAACTCTATCTCAACATACTGTGGCCCTGAAAGTTATTTAGCTGTTCCATCTCACTGATGAAGGAAACAGATTGGGTTTGAACATGACTTTTCTTACCGTTACAGGGTACTGGAGAAGGCCATAGTCAGGGTCACATGCAGACAGAGCACGTGGGACCCAAGCCAGGAGAGCAAATCGTCCATGAAAAAGGCATCATCCTCACAGGCCGGGGCTGGGTCGTCCGGGGGCAGCCATAGCAGGGCTCTGGCCGCTCGCTCAGTGTGACTGAGTCAGAGGCAAACGTCCTGCTGTGGTTATTCGCTTCCTGTCTGATTAACTTGTTGTTTGTTCCTTCCTCCTCTGCCTCAGAAAAAGAAACTAGATTGGTTTTACGCTTAAGAAGCAAGTGAGAAAAAAAAAAAAGAAAAAACTAAACTTAAAAAATTCAGTGCTTCTCCTCCCCACAGGGTATAAACAGGTGTTTGGTATGAAGATCAGGGGACATCAGCACCCCATCCCACCAACAGCCAGGCTTTCTTGGAGACACCACCACAAAAATGCTTGTGTAGAGCACTTGAGAGTCTTTGGGGCGGGGCGGGGAATCCAGCTGAAAGCCCCACCCAATGCTGGCTATTCCATTTAGGAATAAGGAAGAGTCACTTATGAATCACAAGCTCTTCAACAACATCTATAGTTAGACTAAAATGATTGTTCTTCCTTCACAGAGCATCCAAGTGTGTAGGGAGAAAGTTACCAAGGCAACGAGGGCAGCAAGTCAGGTGTATAAAGGCAAATGGGGTCTGAAATGTGATTCTGGTGTCCAAGTCAAGCTCAGTGACAGCCAACTTCAGTGAGTTTTTTATGACCAAACGTTCCGTTTCTGTCCTCCAGGCAGGCACTCTGGGGTGACAGTACCTCCCCTAGAAGCACTTGACAAAAAGGCAGAAGGAGCAAAGTCTGATTTTTACCATTAAGGGGCTCCAAGAGCTGGATGGCCATGGAACGCATGGTGTGCACAAAGCACTGCCCCCAAGCCTGGAGTGGCACGGAACAGTTTGAAAACGTTCCTCATTTTACTTGATCTAGGCTTACATGTACCATTCTGAGAAAACAGTATTCAGGGAAAGAATGAAACACGGAGGCTTATTCCAGAAACTAACCACATGGGATAACTGTGCAGTGGGTCCTGATTCTGCTGAATTTAGAGAACAGCAGCGTGGAAAGGCCATGGCCACCCAACATTCACTCCCTTGCCTGTAAGATCATGGGGCTGGGCTAGTTCATGGCTTTCAGTGCAAGGCACCGCTGGAAATGTGGAACATTTCTGGCTGGGGGTGAGACACAGTGGGCAGGACTGGCTCGGGAAGGAGCCAGTAGGAGTCGATGGGTGGGGCCAGGAATACGGAACTCCCTATGCCTGAAGTAGTGCCATCCCAAGCACCAAAAGTGCCTCTCCCCAGGGATAGATGATGCCAGACTTCTCAGATGAGTCAAACTGTATGAATGGTACATGGTGCTGGGCCAGAGGCAAGGTTCCTGGAAGTGGCAAACCCAAGGGCAATAAAGGGCTGTTTCTCTCCTTTTCCTGGTGCCACATGAAGCACTGCATTCACCTCATCCAATGAGGATCAGGAGTTCAACAGATATCTGCAACAGCAATAGACACCATAGATAGGAGCCTCCAGAGATGGAGAGGCCTGCAGATACTGTACATTTGTTCCCTCATGAACCTTTGAGAAAATAAGACACTTAATCCACCACTAAGTGAACTGAGTAAGTATTTAGGGAAGTCTATCTGTGGTAGACTCCAAAAAGAGAACGTGATCAAGATGACCACTTCTCAACATGGGTGTTTACAGAATTATTTCTGAAGCCCACACCTAAGCCTACTGTGCAAAGACACTCTCAGTACACATACAGTTTGAGACCAACAGAGAAAGCCCAATCAAAAGACAGCATGGCATGTGGAAGGTTGGGGTCCCCTTTTCACCTACTGCACCTAAAAAATGATTTATTTTCATTTTATTTGAAAGGCAGGGAGGCAGATAGAGAAAGAGCTTTCATCTATTGGTTCATTCACTCCTCAGATGCTTGCAAGAGCTGGGGTTGAGTCAAGCTGAAGCCAGGAGCCAGGAGCCAAGATCTCTCTCCAGAACCCTCATGGGTTGCAGGGATCCAAGTACTTGAGCCATCATTCACTGCCTTCGCCTTCCAGGGTGTTTCTTAGTAGGAAGTTGCAATTGGAAGCCTAGCAGTTGGGCCTCAAACCACGTACTCTGAGATGGGGCTGTAGATCTCCTCAAGCCTTGCCCCACATTAATGCTTGTCTGCCCCATCTGTAAGGACAAGTTGTAAATGTACCAAATTCCACACATATCTCTGAGGTGTGCACTATGTATAGCAGGAAATAAATCAGATAATGTTCCTCCCCTGCATAAATGCCTCTCATTTCCCTTTAAAAGTCTAAACTCTTCCTAGGCCCACAAAGACACACAAGATCTGCCCCTCCTTTGCCCCAGACATCAACTCATGTAATATATTCCCTCTTGCTAGTTTACCTTCTGGCCCTTTGATTCCTTAAATATACCAAGCTCATCTGCATCTTGGGACCTCAAACTTGCATGCCCTCTTACTGGTAAACTCCTCTCCTAGTCCCTTCTCACTGTTCAGATGTCAACAAAAATACCCAACCTCCTGTCCCATCGCTGCTTCCCTGTTGTTTCAAGCATAGCATACACCATCATGTGGCATTTTGTAAACTGCTCATTTACACGTTTGTCTCACCATCAGGGAGAAGAGATTCTGTCTGTCTGGTTTCCTGCTGTGCTCTTGGCATTCACTGCAGCACCTGACACCTGCTGGGCTTTCAATAGTGTCTGCTGAATGAGTAAGAAAATCAATGCCCCTCAGACTTAAACCTTTGTGGGAAAAACTGATGGTGGGGAATTTTCCAGAGGAGAGTTCAGCAGATAAGATTGTTAGCCATTCCTGCACTTGCCGATGCAGCCTCATACAGTGGTTTATGTCACTGCGTAGTGGGCAGGGAGGAATGAGTTAAGAAAGGTGAAAACCCACCAATCAGAAAAGACGGGTGGAAAATAAAAGGACAAATAAGACAGGAAGAGGTGGAGACCAGGGAGAAGTTACGTGGTGGAGGAGGAAGTGCTTCAAGCACAGCGTGAGCCTTGGAGGCCTGGAGCCACTTCTGCAGTGGATGACACATGGGTGCTTTCTGCCTTCCTCTAAACAGCCAGTGTTCCCAGAGCAGTGCCTACTTTTCCAGCTTACAAGGCGCCCCATTTGCAATCTAGCTGCTTGCTAATATACCTGGGAAAGCAGCAGAAGATGGTCCCAGTACCTGGGCCTCTACCATTCCATGAATGGAGTTCCAGGCTCTTGGCTTTGGCCTGGCCTAGCCCTAGTCTTTCAGCCACATGGAAAATAAACCAGCAGGTAGAAAGGCTCTTATTTATTTATTTTTTTAATAAGAGGCTGAAGGAGACTGCAAAATTCAGAGTGCATACTGTCATTTACAGATGAAGAAATGGGCGGAGAGTAAGTGACATCCCCACATCACGCAGCTGGCAGCAGCACAGCTGGTAGAGGAGGAAATAGGAGATAGCTGCTGCCCTCCACCTCTGGGCAGCCCCATGTCTGCGGAAATTTACTTAACAGTGGTCCTTGTATCTGGACCCTGGGTGAGCCCAGGCTCCTGCTTCATGGCCCAGGCCATGACTGTTTGAAGATTCATTTCAATTTTAGAAAGGTGACCTGCTCGAAGTCTTTATAAATGTAAGAAGAAGCAGAAGAAGTGGTACAGAGGTGCGAAACAAGGGTGTGAAGGGGAGAACTGGAGGGCAATATTTGTGGTTGGGTGGTTGACTATTTCTTATATCCTCTAGTAAGATCCGTAGAGGAGAAATAAATTTAGGCTGAAAACTAGAAGAACAGAAGAGAAAACGCAGCTTTGTTAGTGGAGGCTGTGTTTTGCCTATAGAACCCAGATATTTGTAAGTCAAATAATTAGGAGGGTTGTAGCTTGGAAAACCTAAATTCTCTCTCCTAGGTTCATAAAGGAGAATCACAAAGGTAAAAACCACAGTAGGAAACTAGTCTGGAAGACAGGAGAAGCTTGACTCCCCATAGTCTCTGCAAGCATTTCTGTTATGGATAAAAAGGATGGTCACTTTCATTGGGACAAGTAAATGCTACTCAGCTTATGAAATACTTAATACATTGAACCTGCCAAACATCGTGACTTGGGCTAGCTGGCCATAAACATAGTCAGACCACTTGTATAAACCCAGAGTGGGACAAAATAACATAACACAGATTTATTGTTTTAAATGTTGTGCTTTAGGTTTTTCATATGAAATATATATTCTATTTAAACATCCATGGTATAGGTGATAATGAACAGACTTTTCAAAAATTCAAGTCTGTATTGTTGAGAATTGTAGATAACATCAAACATAAGTCATTTAGTAACAACTTTTGTGAAAGCAAATTGTTTACTATTGGAGATAACCATGCTTAAGAAGAGACCATGAAGGCCTGGCACGGTAGACTAGTGGCTAAAGTCCTCGCCTTGCACATACCGGGATGTCATATGGGTACCGGTTCATGTCTCAGCAACCCCACTTCCCATCCAGTTCTCTGTCTGTGGCCCGGGAAAGCAGTAGAGGACAGCCTAAAACCTTGGGACTCTGCACATGTGTACAAGACCTGGAAGAAGCTCCTGGCTTCGGATCGGCTCAGCTCCAGCCATTATGGTCACTTGGAGAGTGAATCAGCAGATGGAGGATCTTCCTCTCTGTCTTTCTTCCTCTCTGCATATCTGACTTTCCAATAAAAATAAATAAATATTTAAGAAAAAAAGAGACCATTAACGGCCATCATTAAAAAAAAAAAAAGCCTAAAAAATGTGTTTGAGAAGCAGTGAGACAGAGAGCTCCTTTCTGTGTCAACTGTGTGCAAAAGCTGGGGTTGGACCAGGGCTACAGCCACAGAGCTTGGAACTCAACCCAGGTATCTCACCTGGGTGGCAGGAACAAAACTTCTCTAGTCATCACCACTGTGTCTCAAGGTCTACTTTGGCAGGAAGCTAGAGTGAGTAGCTTGAGCTGTGAACTGAATCCAGGCCCTCTGACATGGAATGCAGTTGTCCTAACTGGGAGGTCGAATGCCCACTTGACACACATGGAAAGCTTATATTATTACCAAGTGGGAGATATCTCACATAATGTATTGAATACTAAACAGAAAAAGTTAAAGCCAGAATGGTTGCATGGGTACACTTTTGCACCACTGTAAAATGGAAAAATCCTGTGTCAAACTATTTTAAATGGGGGGGGGGAGGGCATCTGTATTGAAATCCACCTCAGGAATAAGGAGTGATTTATACAATATAGGGTTTAAGCTTAGAACTGTCTGTACCTGGATCTGGACTCTCTCTGGTGAGTGGTTGTCCTTCTGAAGCCTTACAATGGGAAGATGGGTGACAGATACACAGATTACTTAATTATTGCTTTGAGTCTGTCTAGCATCCGTATCTGAATTGTAATGACAGTTCCATATTTGGGAGGAGAGAGAGAGAGAGAGAGAGAGAGAGAATTTACTGACTTTTTGCTTTCTGGTCTTTTGGCCTGAGTTGGACTAACTGTGCTCTTTAGGAATTAAAGTGGCCAGCTGTGCCAAGCATATCCCTGGGGTTATCCAGATCAAGTGACTGGTGCAGAGATGAGCATGTGATTCTTTCTGAACCAAGGAGATGCCAGGGCACTGGCTCTGACGCATGTGGGGACTGGCTGTATGCAGCGTTTTCAAAAAGTTCATGGAAAATGTGAATATGAAAAAGCCATGCATGCATGGAATTCAATTTTCCTGCAACCAAAAAAGACACCTTATGTTTTAGTTCCATTTTCCATGAATTTGCTAAAGTAAATTCTTCTGCTAGCCACACTGTGAACTTGTGTAAGCGGAGAATGAATCTGTGTGCTCAAGTGGCACAAGGGAAACCTTCAACTCAAAGAGGACCAGCAATCAATGCATGTGTGGATGTACTCTGCATCCTGATTCAAACAAACAACCACAAGGCAAGTGGAAATTCAAATACTGATTGGCTACTTAATTACACAGATTATATCACCAGTTTTCAACTGTGACTGTTATTACAATTATGTTCCTTTTCAACAAAGAAATTTTAACGTTTAGAGATACTAAAATGTTTGTGGATGGAATAATATTTCTGGTCTTTCTTCAGAGCAAAGGGGAAAAGGGAAGATCAGGTTGGATACAGTGAGACAGAATTGGTCATGACAGGATGATTCTTGGATGCTTGTGAGGGGTTCCTAAATTTCTGCAATTAAAAGCTTAAAAAAAGACAGAAGACATGGCTCATTCCCTTCTTCATCCACTAGAGGCTGTTGAAGAGGTTTCTCAGGGAAAGTATTTAGATAGACCATGGTTAAGTTGCTGCTTGTATAATACCCACATCCTGTAGTTGAATCTCTTAAGTTCCAGTCCCAGCTCCACCCCTCATTCCAGCTGCCTGGTGATATGCACTCTAGAGAAGGCAGGGGATGGCTCGGGAGTGCTGGATTCCCAAGATTTGCAGTGTGGTGACTCTGCTGGGTAACCAGGCTCCCGCTAGGGCCTGGCTCAGCCCTAGCTGCTGGGAGTATTTGAGGGAGTCAACCAGCATAGGAAGACCTCTATCTATCTCTGACTCTTAATCTTTCACATAAATAAAAATAAAATAAACAAAATTTCTCACTTCAACAAACATGCTCAGACTTGGGAGTTAGAGAAGTTATTGTTCACTTTTCAAACTGATTTCTTTCATTCTTGAATGATATGGGGGTGAGTGAGGGCTTCTTTCTAATGGTTCAGAACCAAGTTGTTCTTCCACAAAAAAAGATTAAAATTTTCAAAATCTGAGAGCCATTAGTAGTGAAAGCAGAAAAACAAAAATAAAAATTCCAGCCAAGGAAGAACAAAGAAAACTACCCTCTTTTTGACAAGCACTGTCTGATGGACCAGAACCCGAGCCACACAT